GAAATGAGCTGAATTGAACTGAAATGAGCTGAATTGAACTGAAATGAACTGAAGTGAACTGAACTGAACTGAACTGAATTTAACTGAAATGAACTGAAATAAATTTAACTGAAATGAGCTGAACTGAACTGAACTGAGCTGAAATGAGCTGAATTGAACTGAATTGAACTGAAATGAAATGAGCTGAATTGAACTGAACTGAATTGAACTGAATTGAACTGAATTGAACTGAAATGAGCTGAATTGAACTGAAATGAGCTGAATTGAACTGAAATGAGCTGAATTGAACTGAAATGAGCTGAATTGAATTGAACTGAATTGAATGGTCTAATCCGTTTCATTGTCCATGATGATCAGCTACAGGATCTCATAAATAAATATCTGAGATCCTAATTCAGTTCTGAGAATTCGTCATCTTTGTGGTTTATGAAGCAAAAGAGTTCATGAAAGTCATTATTTGTATCTTCACATCAAGTACAATAAATAAGAAAGATTCTGATCCTGTCTGAGTAATTTGTACACGAGCACGGTCAGTAAACGAGGCTTCTGAACAGAACTCTCTCCAGTGGTTCGTCACATGTTTTGTTAACAGACAAACATGCACAGGCATTTCATTAGTGCCCATCTCAACAATTATGTTAACTCTAGGGGGCGGCTGTGGCTCAGTGGTTAGAGCAGGCATGGGCAAATCCCGGCCCGCGGGCCGTATACGGCCCATTGGGCTTTTTAATTGGCCTGCCAAAATTGTCCAAAATTTGGACAATTAAAAAAAAAACAATTATACATTCTTTATTTTTCAGGGGTGCTGAAATAAAATTCATTCAACCTTTATTTAGACAGGTAATCCCATTGAGCCTCGAGGACTCATTTACAAGAGAGACCTGGTTTCAACAAGAACCCCCAAAAAGAGGTTAAAATCACCACTGGTTCAAATTATATTTAAAAATCTGAATTTAATAGGAAAAAAACTGAAGTTCCAGCATTTCCCCAGTAGAGGCGCACTACAGACACTGGTGTGTGTTTCAGGCAAACTAACAGTGTAGAAGAAGTAACTTCTTCTTCTCTCGCGGTTTTCAAATAGTACACTTTGCTAACTGCTAACTGTGCTAACTGTGCTAACGAGCTTTTCTCCGATGGTGATTTTTTAAAAGAAACGTAAAACCAGAGCAGGTCTGTTGTGTCCGGAGGGCCAAGAGGAGTTAGAAAAATGAGTTTATCACGCAGGACTGGGACTCGACTTGTGGAACTGACGGATGATGATTCAACAAAATAAGCTAAAAGACAGAGAGAGTCCTTTAAGTTATGGTTTACTGGATGAAAGTAATAAAGGACACTGCTCAGCTCCTAATTTTTAATCTGCGGGATTAACAACAGTTTTGAGATCATGGAGGTGTTTTTGGCCCTGGAGTCTCTGAAAGGAAAAACACGGAGAGATGATTTTATAACCGTCTGCTGTCATGAGAGAACAAAGCTTCAGTGGAGTAAAGTCACAACGGACACGTCACCAGAGTCAAGTGTAAAACATGTCGGGCTGCTGACAAGAATCCAGGATAAAGTGAAAGGAAAACCTGGACCAGATGTTTTCATCCATCAGGAATCACTAAGTCATGCTTTGTGTGTGAATTATTGTGCAGGTGCTCTGCTGTGATGCTGCAGGAGGAGCTGCAGGAGGAGCTGCAGGAGGAGCACGTCTGCTTCATCCCAACCTGCTGACCTGTCATCAACTTTAGATCCTGCAGTTGTAAAAAGTTTCGTGGAGTTTGTGGAGGTGACACTTTATTTAGACTTCTCCTGTGTTCCATGAGCACAGTGAGGACTCCACAAAGTCCATCATTTCACTGTTGTAAATAAAACCACTGTTCCATCATAAGATCTGACTTGGTGGCTGCTTGAGTGGTGCACGAGGTGGAATCACCCATAATTATTAGCGTCCCGCCGGCTGTTCTTGAGCTGGGTGTGACATCACACAAACACTCCATCCAGCTGTTCCTGGCCCTGAGCTCCAACTTTAGAACTCAGTGTGGCCGCGAGTCTGAAAGTTTGACCACCTCTGGGTTAGAGCATCCATCCTCCAATGGGAGAGTTGGGGGTTTGATTCCACCAGCAGTCACATGCTGAAGTGTCCCTGGGCAACACACTGAGCCCCTCATTGTCTCTGGTGTGTCCCATCAGTGTCTGAATGTGTGTGTGGGGGTAAACGAGGTCAGAGTGTGTTGTGAAGAGCTTTGAGTGTCTTCATTAGATGGAAGGGGCTGTATAGGTACAGTCCATCTACCATCTTCTAGTTAGAGTCAATGTAATCCTGTTTTTAGAAACAGAAAATATAAAAAAGGATTTTCTGTTGGATGAGTGTTTTTACCCTGATGGTCTCCAAACAGCCGTGCTCCTCGGCGAGGACCGTCACGATGTCGTCCATACAACCTGAGTGTGAAGACAAAGCTTCAGTCCAAACTCCACAGTTTCACTCAGCGTCTAAAACCGTCTTCACTCACCCAAAGTCAAAATGAACTTCAGTTTCTCACGGATTTCTAGATTCTGCAGGAGACGCCTCCCCTGCAAGACATTTACAAACAAACCGTGGTCGTTGGGCAGATTTCAGGCGACAGTGTGTGCGACCGCGACAAGGAGGGATTCTTACTGTGCACAGTTCCAAGAGCAAGACTCCCAGAGACCAGACGTCGGTCTTTGGTCCCGAGGGTCGAGGAGCGTCATCGTGTGACGGATCGCTGCGGTGGAAGCAGCCCAGGGCGATGACCTCCGGAGCGAGGTACGAAGGGTAGCTGTGGTCAAAAGGACATGAGCAGTCAGGAGTGACGGCACACAGACACAAGCGACTCTGAGGTGCAGCCAAGAGTCGAATCCAAACTGACCCGATGGGAAAGTCAACGTCCGCCCCGCGATCCGTCATGTGATAAAGGCCGAACTTTGCCAGCTTCACATTTCCCTTCAAAGACAAACCGTCTCAGAGCGACACTTTATACAAGAACTGTTCACTTGTAGAACCGCCCCAACAAGTTCAACGTTTTAATTTAGCTCCAAACGACAACAAAAGTAACTGACGAAGATGCTGAAAGAAGACGAGCGCACCTTGCAGTCCAGCAGCACGTTGTGCACGCTGAGGGCTCTGTGCACCAAACCATGCTTGTTCATGAACTCCAGACCTTGGAGGACCTCAAAGGCTACCTGCAGCACCTTCTCTGGGCTGAGACAAACACCGAGCCGTCTGTGACTACTGTGACTAAGCAACCACAGAAAAACATGAACACGTCCAAACTAACGTGATGTTTTATTAACATTTAGTTACTACGGTACAGGGACAGATTAAACACACACTAACTGTACTCCAGCAGCACATTTAAAGTAAAACTACAGTACTCCAATACATACTGGTAACGGTAAAATAGAATAAAACACCTGGGCTGTACCTCACTCGTTGTCCTCGACTGAAATCTCCTACGTTTCTCACGTAGTGCTCAGCAACAACAGTCAGTCGTTCTATGGAGCAAGAACAAAGAACCAGAAACATTTAGAAGATAGAAGAACACGTCGAGGATCAAACTGTTGCACGAGTCGTCAGTGAGCATGTGCACACACAATACAAATAGAATACAAATACAAAAAATATTACAAATAAATACAAATAGCCTAATACGCATTTGGAAAGAGTCATTGATACAGCTGCTGATTAGAGTTCTTCTAGAAACTTCCCAGATGGACCAAACAGGTCTTTGGAAGCTCCACTGAGACTCCCAGTGCAGATGTTGGTTCCTTGGTCCAGCACATCAGGCCAGCTGTTACAAACCTGGGGGTCAAAGTGGATGCTGGACTAAAGTTAAAAAACTGTTAAATCTAGTTTGTTCATCTGAGGCAGCTGAAGTGAAGCTGATTCTTTCTCAGCAGCGTTTCAAACAGTAGTTCACGTCTTTGTGACTGGACGACTGTAACACTTACAGGAACCAGTGACTCGTGTGTCAGAGGGTCCAGAACGCTGCTGCACAGCTTTTAACTGGCACATGAAGGTTTCACCACATCTCTCCTGTTTTATCCTCCCTGCACTGGCTCCCCGTACATTCCAGGATTCATTTTAAAATATTTTATTGCTTTTAAAGCTCTTAATGGACTGGCCCCGCCCTTTCTGTCTGAGCAGCTGCATCCATACACACCCTCTGCATCTCTCAGGTCATGTGACCGGCTGCTCCTGATGTCATGTGACCGGCTGCTCCTCGGGTCATGTGACCGGCTGCTCCTCGGGTCATGTGACCGGCTGCTCCTCAGGTCATGTGACCGGCTGCTCCTCAGGTCATGTGACCGGCTGCTCCTCAGGTCAAGTGACCGGCTGCTCCTCAGGTCAAGTGACCGGCTGCTCCTCAGGTCATGTGACCGGCTGCTCCTCAGGTCATGTGACCAGCTGCTCCTCAGGTCATGTGACCAGCTGCTCCTCAGATCATGTGACCAGCTGCTCCTGAGTGTGAGCTCAGAGGAGACCGTGCTGCTGCAGCTCCTAAACTGTGGAACGACCTTCAATGAACATCAGACTCTTCCCTGTCTGTTTTTAAATCCTTCTTAAAACCAGCTCTTCTCCCTGACCTCTGACCTCTGACACCATCTGAGATGTTGACATTAATCATTTTAATCACTTGTGTTATCTGACTGCTGATTGTTTTGTTGTGTTTGGTCTGTGGGTGTTTAAGTGCTCTATGAATAAAGCTGCTAAGGTATAAAAATAAAAATAAATACCAAATTGAGTTTGGTAGGCAGGAAAGAAAATGTACAACAATAAACCTTTCTGAATAGCCACTAACATTTGAGGAGTTTATACGTCATTACTTAGGGCGGCTGTGGCTGAGCGGTTAGAGCAGTCGTCCTCCAATGCAAGAGTTGGGGGTTCGAACCCCACAGCGGTCACATGCCGAAGTGTCCCTGGGCAAGACACCGAACCCGTTGTTGCCTCCGATGTGTGTCCCATCAGTGTATGAATGTGATAAATCACTGATTAGTCTCTTTAGAATGAATGTTCAATTATCTTTGTAGAGATCTAGTATAGAGCTGTATGAACGGGTACATGAGGCACAGGTTGTTGTAAAGAGCTTTGAGTGTCTCAATAAGACAGAAAGGAGCTGTACAAGTACAGTCCATTTACTTGTGTACATAAATTCATTCCACCACATGTACCACATGGGGTGTGAATGACAAATAAAGAACCTTGAATCATTATCCTCATTCCTTGATAAATCTGTAATTTATCTGTTTTGTTTCGATGGAGTCTTGATAATAAAACTTAACGTACACACGAGATTTATATCCTGGCAACAACCAATGCAGACATGTTCCTGTTTTTACTTCCTACACCGCCGTGTAATCTACATGGGTTTTTTCTTTTTGCTACTTTTCCTTTTCACGGTCCTTTTTGTTGCCATTTTGTTCTGATTAAGAATAAATAAATACATTTTGTACGCCTCTTTTTGTGACTGTTCACTGTCGTGGCGAGCTGGTCTGGGAAGCTCAGTCCTCACCTCCTTCTACAGGTGTGCAGTGGAGAGCATCCTGTGCTCGAGCATCAATGTGTGGCATGGAGGCTGCACAGCTGCAGAAAGGAAAGCTTTGCAGAGAGTGGTGAAGGCTGCACAGAAGATGTTGGAGTCAGCCTCCCCACCATCACAGACATCTACACCTCCAGATGCAGGAAGAGGGCCACCTGCATCATGAAGGACCCCACCCACCCAGCACACACACTTTTTGCCCTACTCCCCTCAGGAAGGAGGTTAAGGAGCATTAAGTGTAGAACCACTAGACTGAGGAACAGCTTCTACCCTGAGGCTGTTAGACTCATGAATCTCTAACTAGAATAATCACTGTGAAAAACCATATCATGTTGCTGCTGATCTGTTTCATGTTGCTGCTGATCCGTTTTAATGTTGATGTGTTCATGCGTGCACATCTGCTCACAGACTCATGTTCATGTTTGTGCTGATGTTCAATGTTTTATGTTATGAGTGCTTAGTGTACATTTAGTTGATGTTTTTCTTACTTCATACCTTAGATGTTATTACTGTTTTTCTTATACATTTTATTGTTGGATGTAACTGGGACCCTGTGAACATAATTTCGCTCCACCACATGTACCACATGAGGTGCGAATGACAATAAAGAAACTCTGACTCTGACTCTGACTCGTCATCACTGCTTGTTAAAATCAGGTGTCTCTTGTAAACGAGTCCCCGAGGCTCAATGGGATGTACCTGCATCGATAATGTTCCTGTGCAGTGCCACAATAAACGGCAACATTTAGATTATTTCCAATGTGGGCACAATTTAAATAAGAATAAAATGTGTCCTTGACAGCGATGAATGTTGAAGGTTTTACCGTGTTTCCCTCTGGAAATGTCCACGTACTGGCAGAGTGTGGGGTGAGTGATGCTCTTCAGGATCTGGAAACGTCCCAGGATTTTGATGGAATTTGGGGTGAGAGGGAGACCATTGCTGCCACAGACATCATGAGGGAGAGCCGAGGCAAAGAAGGTGAAGGCTCCGAGCTGAGCATCTTTAAGGGGCCTCATTGTGGCTCTGGCTCCAAACACGCAATGGGAAATGCTGTCAACGAAAACACAAGGAACATGTTACCAACGCCACAGTACAGCGACATGCACCTTTACTGGAACTGCAAGACATTTCGAAAGTCAAAGACAGCGCGCGATTAGTTCATTAAAGTGAACGACGACGTCGAGCAAAAATACATGTTCCCTTTTCGGTGCACACAAATCAGCTGATATTGTAAAATTACCTCAAGCGTGTGTCCTCGCGCTTAATAAAGCAGCTGTAGGCTCTTGTGCACAAAATTAACTCCAATACAACATTATGCTTTTGAAATTAATCATTTTCCTGCGTCTGAGACGTGATGGGAACAGCTGACTGAACGCGAACAGTGACGCCAATTTTATGCGACGGAGCAGTAGAGAAACCCAAAAAAAAAAGCAAACAAAAAAAAGCGTAGAGCTTTGATACTTAAAATTTTGAAACTCTTTAAAGAAATAAAATTGAGTTGTTATGTTTTGGAAATGTAATGTTTGATTCTTTTTCAAAGACTAATTTTAGTTCGATAAATTATAAACGGGCGTTATGTATTGACGCCTTAGTTAAAAAGGTAAAACTATAAAACATGTGGATGGAACGCAGACAGGCAGCACTGAAGGACCTACTTCTCATCCAGATGGTAAAGTAATCTGTTGGGTCCTGGGGAGCGGTCATCCGCTAGCTGCCCGTCAGGATCTAAAGTTGAGGTCAGGCCTGTTTGAAACGTGTTGGCTCGCCGCGATACATGTAAGTCCCAGAAAAGAGTTGTATTTTAATGCTGAAACGGGAGCTTCCAGTGACGTCATTCTAGTGCTGGCTACTTTGAAAGCAAGCGGAAAGTCGTCATTTGTTTTTATTTTTGAGAAAAGTAACCGAATGGCTGACAGATTTATGATGAACCAGAGTAAAGTAGCCTAACATTGTCTACAAATATGACGTGCTAACACACAACATTGACAAGATCGAAATGTTTAACATGAATTCTTATTCACAAATCATTCAAGTTCAAGTTGTGTTTATTTGTCACATAAGTATCCAGATGCATGCTCAATAATCCAGGTAGAAAAATAAAAAAAAGTTCAGTCTGGTTTGCATGTCCAGAGCACCAGACTGAACTTTTTTAGATTTGTCACATAAGGTTAACACAGAGTTAGTACAATGAAATGCTCAGGACGAGGAGAACCGATTTGACTCGATTAAAAAAAAATCAATCAAAATCACGTTAGAGCTGTGCTTCTGTACAGTCATGTGTAAATAGTGAGTACAGGAGTGGGCTGAGGACACAGCCCTGAGGTATACCGGTGCTGAGGATTAGTGTGGAGGAGAGGTGACAGCTGATCTCACTGCCTGTGGTCTGTTGGTGAGGAAGTCCAGTATCCAGCAGCAGATGGACTTCTCCAGGCCCAGTGTGGTGAGCTTGGAGACCAGTTTGGAGGAGATCCTGGTGTTGAATGCTGGAGCTGTAGTCAATGAAGAGCATTCTCACATAGGTGTTTTCCTTCTCCAGATGGCTGAGGGAGGTGTGATCTGCTAAAGCAGCGGCATCATCTGTAGACCTGTTTGCTCTGTATGTGAACTGTAGGGGGTCCAGGGGGTCGGGAGGGAGGCACAGATGTGAGTCTTGATAATTTGCTCAAAGCACTTCATGACAACAGATGTGATGCTATGGGCTGAAAGTCATTAAGGCAGGATGCTGCAGAGGTCTTTGGGATGGGGACAACAGTGGAGGTCTTGAAGACGGTGAGCACAATACACTGGCTCAGAGACAGGTTAAAGATGTTGGTAACACCTTGGTGAGTTGGTCAGTGCACACTCTCAGCACCCGTCCTGGGACCAGGCCCTGGTGCCTTGTGAGGGTTTACCTTCTTGAACGTGAGTCTCACTGTAGCAGTGTCTAAACAGAGTGTGGTGTCCTCACTGTCTACGTGTGCTCTGGTGGCATGTGTGCTGGTGTTTGCATCAAACCAGGTGTAGAAGGTGTTGAGCTCATCTGGAAAAGATGCACTGCTCAGCTCCACAGACCTGTTCTTTGTCTTGTGGTCTGTGATGCAGTGTAGTCCATGCCACACCCGCCTCGGGTCGTTGCTCTGTTGGGCAGATTCCACACGCTCCCTGTATTTCCTCTGAGACGTCCTCACGGTCTTTTCAGGAATACATATCGCTGAAATAATAAGTAAATCGTTGTGTTGAATCCTAAAATGTATTATCTGTCTAACTGCAAACACACAGGTTTGTAAATTAAGATTGTATTGTTATATGAAAAGTTAGCCATACCTGCTTTACTCCCCGTTAGTTCCAGAATTGGATCATGAAAAAATCAAATGTAGTTCCTCACATCTCCAGAAATCAAATTCTATAAGAATTTCTAATGAAATACTTTTCTCCATAATTGTTGTAAACGATAAAAATGATAGTGATCTTAGATCCTTATATACTGTTTTTTTATACTTTATATAAAATAATAATTTAACAGAAACATTCATCTATAAAATAATAATT